GACATCTTAGGGGGTACGTGAAATTTAAAAAAATATATATTATTTTATGATAAACACTGAATAATCAGTAATGTAATTTATTTAATTTATTTTAGATGTAGATTATATACTATGTATAACTTGAATTATACACCAACAACTTTGGGGGTACAAAGTTGAAGAGAAATTATATCAGGGGGTACGCGAAGACATTTTAGGGGGTACGTGAAATTTAAAAAAATATATATTATTTTATGATAAACACTGAATAATCAGTAATGTAATTTATTTAATTTATTTTAGATGTAGATTATATACTACGTATAACTTGAATTAAACACCAACAACTTTGGGGGTACAAAGTTGAAGAGAAATTATATCTGGGGGTACGCGAACAAAAAAAGGTTGAATACCACTGGCTTAGTGTATTAGATACTGGCCGACGTTTCCGATGTGCCAAGTGCATGTAAAAGTTAGTCATTTATTATTTAAAAATAACTTCATTTCTCAATTAAGGGGGTGTGGAACAAGGTACGGATATAAATACCAACAAAATTAAAGGATCAATAATATTAAAGTCTCCTGATTTGTGACGCCGTGTCCTCTAGGAAGTGACATGTTCCTCCGGAATGTTTGTCACCGTCTATAAGACACATGGCGTCACGACCCACTCACCGCTTTGAGGATCTTGAAATTGAGATCATAATTATAAAACTTGTAGTGAATACAAGAAATACATCAACGTTCATCACGAACTCTTTACATAACAGCGTTATACATGCCGTTCAGGAACCGTCAGTGATAAATTAGCTAGCCAGGAGCTCATCAGGAGATGTATTTTTATAACAGTTGTTTTTCTGGGTTCTGGGGTTGTGACGCCGTGTAGACTCAGAGGCAGATCACCTACGACTCCACATGAGACGCCACAACCTAGGTCGTCGTCATCATCACACCCATAGGACAACACACAGTAGAGAACAGACATACATCAATGTCTCGAGTTGGATTCGAACACACGATCCCAATGTTCAATCCGTCAAGGCCGCGTGATGACTTTGAAGGCCTCTTTCAAATCACTGTTTGTGTACCAATCATATCTTAATAACATATACAAAACATCGTGGCCGAGTTTTTTTTTTCAGACCTGCCTGTAGACTGGCTACCTAAAGTAGGCCATGACCGTTTTCTGTCACATCCTTTCGAATTCATTGTTCCACTAATGGGTATGCAAATAAATAAATAAAAATAAATTATGCTGGACACTAAATTCTATTTTGATTTAAACTGCGGTAGAGTCATCAGCATTGACTCCTGTGTCTAAACGACGAGCGTGATTCTGACCGCCTTCTTCAAATTTCGACGTGTGATCATATTTTACTCCCAAGGAAGCAAGGACAACAATTTTATTTTTGTCATGGTACACTAAGCCAGTGGTATTCAACCTTTTTTTGTTCGCGTACCCCCA